CACAGCTCATCAGTCGTCATCAGCTGCTGCTTCACATTCGTGTTAAAGAATCACAGAGATGAGCGGCTCTCTCCACACCAGCGCTCACACAGTTCCACTCTGCCACCAACTCGTTAAAGTCCCCCATCCTCCGTCTGTTTTCTGAGCCCGGTCAAAGCCTGCTGACCTGGAAACACAACCAGTCTGTGACCCGTAACACAGCAGGAAATAGAGTGAGAATGGAGACTGTTCAAATAAGGGCTACAGCGTAAAAAAAGTCAAATGTAATCAGAATAAAACGCATGGACCACAAACAGCAGGAGTGGAAATATGTGTGTTTCTCAGAACTTATGTTAATATTAATATTATTAACAACAATAATAATAATGAATCCGATTTATATTGGACTCTCTTCACATTCATTCAGCCCAAACACAGTGGTGATTAACTACTCCTGTAGCCACACTTTCCCTGGACCTCACTGACAGAAACGAGGAAACCAGTCTGTGCCATCAGCCCCTCCCACCCCCAAGTTAGGTACAGCAGCTTTAAAGAAGCCTCGGTGAAACCGTGTTTCCCATCTACAAGTTTAACTAAAGCACAGCACTGGATCAAATAAACGATTGTGACAAAATAAATCTATGTTTATTTCCAGTTGAACGATAATCTCTTAGTTTGACGTCTTTCTTGTCAGTTTTGCACACAGACCCCCTACTCCCCTCCCGTCTCCCCCTGAGGCTCCATGTTTACACACGTCTCGACTATGTCCCTAATTTGCGATGGAAATGTCCCGCTCCACGCTCACGATGGAATCAGAACATCAGACTAATCCCTGGGGAAGACGCTGCCAATCTCCGTCTGTCGGTGAAAAGTGATTTCATTTAATTACAGACAAACATCCTTCAGAGATAGAACTGTGGAGAAACTGTTCATTTGTTTCTCGGCGTAAAGACGTTTATGGACCTGTGTTTTCATTTTTACACAGTCGGGAAACTGAGGGAGCACTAACAGGCATCAGGCAAAGCACGTTTATTGTCATTGTCGAAACAGACATGAGCATGATTAGAACATAAAGGAATACATTTACAGCTTTAAGAATAGAATTGCCTTTCCAAAAATGAAGGAAAAAATGTTGCTGATTAAAGACTGTTTATATTGTTTTCTAAAGGAGAAATTTGGTTTGAACCGATGGGTCAGCTACATTTCAATACAGAAAATACATACAAACAAAGACACCAACGCACCTGCTATTCAGTTCCCACACGCACACGCACGCACGCACGCACGCACGCACGCACGCACGCACGCACGCACGCACGCACGCACGCACGCACGCACGCACACACACACACACACACACACACACACACACACACACACACACACACACACACACACACACACACACACACACACACACACACACACACACACACACACACACACACCTCCTCATGTCCTTATTTAACTGATTCACTGAAACAGGTTTGAATGAGTTCTTCTAGATTGAGTCTGCACCGTAGAACTCATACCTCCTCCCAGAGTTCAATAATTCATATTCAGGGAAAAGTACATGTGTAAGACCCCTAATTATGAACGATTGAACTGTGGGAGGAGGTGCAGTCAGACGGAAATGGAAAAAAAAAGTCTCCAATATGTGACGATCCAAGAGAACGAGGAAGCATTGTTTTTTCTAGTTTCAGACACAATTCTGGTCAGAGTCTTGAAGATGATCTGATGCCGCGACAAAAAAGAGCAGAGATTTTTATGTTGCACATGTTTCTTAGAAATGAAAGGAGAAGCAGCAACATTGCCCCCATGTAAGTAAGTACCCTTTATTCATATAGCGCCTTTCACAGCGGTTTACGGTTGTTGTGGGCATTTGTCTCTCGCTCCACACTGCGATGGGAGCCCAATACAATCCACACCGTTCATTCATTTCATATTTCATATAGCTGTATCTAGTTGGACACTGCTTCCTGAAGGACAGTAGAAAAGCAACTTTTGATTTAATGCCTAGCGTACATCGGACTGGCAACTGATTATAACCGTCGCCAATGAGTTGCTGCCCCGCACACATCGACTATGTGGCTAAAACGGACATCTGCAGACCAGTCTCGGGAATAACAGCGCGTACATCGACAGCAACCGGCCTCAACTACAGTGTGTTTTCTGGCATTAACTGTAGAGGGCGCGCAATACACGCAATACACACATGTTGTTGGAGCGCGCACATCTGGTGATATCTTCGGATCTGAGTACAACTAGTTGCCGATAAGTGGAACACGGGCAACTGACTGAATCCAGAGATCGACTGTTTATCTCCAGTTGTAAGAGCGCTCACATCGACCGATTTCGGCAACTGATCATCTCCATCATCTCCTCTCAGTTGCCAAAAGCCGCCTTGCAACTAGTTGTCTCCAGTTACTCTGTCGATGTGCGCTAGGCTTAAAGATAGATATTCTAATTTTCAGAGTTTCCCTTCTCTAATCTCCCACATGTTTTAAAGCATGTAGAGAAGTCCCCAATGCGCCTCACACACTTCTGTATAAAAACCCTCAGACTGATAAGGATTCAGACCTTGCTACAGCGCACAAGTTTTTTCACAACTAAAACAAAACTGTTGTTCAATGTCAGGTAAAAAAAAGAAACAGATCTTGTTCTTATCTAACAGCTGCTCGACACAAACCTTTTACAATAACCTTGAACGCTCCACTTTATTAGCTCCGAACGGTGAGGACGTATGCAGCGCTTACAATGGCAGCAGCAACACAGGGCGTACTGCACTTATCCAGTATATAGGCTTTCAATATCCTCACTCTGCTCCCTCTTCCTGAACCTCCGCCTGAAAGCAAATGATGAAGGCCTCTCCGCTATCAACTTAAATAGACACTTACATATCCAACAAATACACTGTTTTAACCATTTATTTTATTGTTTTAGTGTTGCGTTCTACAGCCTCAGTCCTGGATTTACATCCTCAGTCCTGGATCTACAGCCTCAGTCCTAGATCTACAGCCTCAGTCCTGGATTTACATCCTCAGTCCTGGATCTACAGCCTCAGTCCTGGATTTACATCCTCAGTCCTGGATCTACAGCCTCAGTCCTGGATCTACAGCCTCAGTCCTGGATCTACAGCCTCAGTCCTGGATCTACCGTTTGTTTTCTGATCTGTGTTGGCGAATTCAACGTAAAGTACTGTTGTGACATAGGGTGATACAAAAGAAAATTGAATCGAGTTGACGGCATCTTTAAGGTGCGATAAAAACACATTTTCTAGATCAGTGGTCTCCATCCTGTGGCTCGCCAAAGGATGAAGGAATCCAACGCAGGATTTTTAGAAGCAGCAGCACCAATCGGCCCAAACATTCTGACCACACACCTCCTCCCTTATTCTCTGCTTGGGTATGAAAATAAAACCCTGTTTAATTTCATGGTAAAATACAGGTTATAACAGCCTGTGTAGGTTTTCTCTGCGCTGCCGCTAAAGGACACACTGTGACATGTTTCTCCAACTGTCCTGGTCCTCACTGCCTGCATGTTGACACTCCCAATGCTTGTTCTTCATTTTCAAATGTAATTATTTTAATCATCCTACATACCTGAAACAATATCTTACACCTTTTAGTTCCACTTTCAATCTTCGTCACACTGACACTAATACTCTTCCACACACCCCGTGTTAAAAACTAAATAGGAAAACGTGCTTTTCATTACAAAGCCCCAACGTACTGTAAGCTTCTCCAGCTGCCATTCGCTCCCTCTCTTTGTTTAAGAACGCTGTGTTACAGCACTTTAAAACTGTCTGTAATTGCTTTGGATGTGTCTTTTGTTGTCTTATGTTTCTGTTGTGTTCAGTTGTATTCTCCGTCAGTATTATGATGTATTTAATTTGTACTGTACTTTACTGTAGTTATAGGGGGGAGTGGGTAACCTCTGAGTGTGTGTGAGTGAATGTGTTGAGCTTTTGTCCTGTTTTCTTTTTAGTTTTAATGTAATACTTTTGTTTGTACTTTTGTTTTGTTAATTGACTGTCGCTGCTGTATTGTTATTTATGAATTTGATTTTGAGGACCCCCTTGGAAACGAGATGATTCATCTCAAGGGTTATTCCTCTTGATAAACGTTAAATAACAATGTAATGTTACTGAATTTTGAACTAAGTCAAATATTACCCAGGATTATTTTGCATTCCCTACATTAATGCTTTAAAGTAAATGCAACATATTACAGTCATTACTTTTGTAACGTGTTACTCTGACCACTGCTCATACATTTTGACAGGTGAAACAACAGAAGGAGTCTGTATGATATCAGAGAATGGTAATCAGAGGCGCATGTGTCGGTGCAGCAGAAGAGAGGCCATCTCCCTGCAGCGTCCACCTGCTCTCGCTCAGGTGGTCCTTCTGCTTCCTCTGAGAATGGAGGGGCATGTTTGAGGGTGGTCTTCTTGTGGTTGTTAAGCTACAATGGTTTTCTCACAACTTGAGTCTCCACCATCAGAATACATTAAACAGTACTGTACATATGAGCCGAGTCCTGTTTATGTTTTTATGACTGCAACTAAGTAATAGACAGCAGACAGACTATTGGATTTAAAGCTGGACTTTGGTTGGGCCTTTCTTAAACTATTCCATTGTAGTGGAATAGTTTTATGTATATAAATGTATATTTGTATGTACATCAAATATAAAATATATATATATATACATAAACACATACAGCTTCATGGTTCCTCAGACCACCCTTCCTCACAGCTGTCTTTATGACTCCTGTACCTTTAGGAGCTGCTCTCAATTTCACACTAACACTGGACTTGGACCTTGATCCTATAAAGTTAACTCTAAGTGATGTTTTTCCTCGCACCTGTCTGCTGTCTCACCTGTCTGCTGTAGAACCTGTCTGCTGTAGCACCTGTCTGCTGTAGCACCTGTCTGCTGTAGCACCTGTCTGCTGTAGCACCTGTCTGCTGTAGCACCTGTCTGCTGTAGCACCTGTCTGCTGTAGCACCTGTCTGCTGTCTCACCTGTCTGCTGTAGAACCTGTCTGCTGTAGCACCTGTCTGCTGTAGCACCTGTCTGCTGTAGCACCTGTCTGCTGTAGCACCTGTCTGCTGTAGCACCTGTCTGCTGTAGAACCTGTCTGCTGTAGCACCTGTCTGCTGTAGCACCTGTCTGCTGTAGCACCTGTCTGCTGTAGCACCTGTCTGCTGTAGCACCTGTCTGCTGTAGCACCTGTCTGCTGTAGCACCTGTCTGCTGTAGCACCTGTCTGCTGTAGAACCTGTCTGCTGTAGCACCTGTCTGCTGTAGCACCTGTCTGCTGTAGCACCTGTCTGCTGTAGCACCTGTCTGCTGTAGAACCTGTCTGCTGTAGAACCTGTCTGCTCTAGCACCTGTCTGCTGTAGCACCTGTCTGCTGTAGAACCTGTCTGCTGTAGCACCTGTCTGCTGTAGCACCTGTCTGCTGTAGCACCTGTCTGCTGTAGCACCTGTCTGCTGTAGCACCTGTCTGCTGTAGCACCTGTCTGCTGTAGCACCTGTCTGCTGTAGCACCTGTCTGCTGTAGCACCTGTCTGCTGTAGAACCTGTCTGCTGTAGCACCTGTCTGCTGTAGCACCTGTCTGCTGTAGCACCTGTCTGCTGTGTAGCACCTGTCTGCTGTAGAACCTGTCTGCTCTAGCACCTGTCTGCTCTAGCACCTGTCTGCTGTAGCACCTGTCTGCTGTAGCACCTGTCTGCTCTAGCACCTGTCTGCTGTAGCACCTGTCTGCTGTAGCACCTGTCTGCTGTAGCACCTGTTTGCTGTAGCACCTGTCTGCTGTAGCACCTGTCTGCTGTAGAACCTGTCTGCTGAGAAGTACATGTGAACTCACCATGAAAGAGACCCATTGGCTTCTGTCATATTTTGAATGTTTAAGAGTCCTGTCTCCCAGAGCCTGAACGTTTATCCGTCCAAACCTGTATTTATTCAACCTCACATTCTGCTTGTTATCACATGTTTCTGCTCGACAGCCCGTTCTGTGGTGAGCGTCAGAGCAGATAAATGGAACTCCTCAGCCTTTGTGATTGTGAATAGTGATTTTTACGCAAGTACTGGATGTGTCTCATCAACAGAGGACCATCTGACCATGATAATGATCCCATTCACACATCTGTACTTGAGTATTCTGAGGATCGATTCAAATGAACAAAACGGGACAAAGCTTTATTCAATGATGTTTTATTCTGCACAGCCTCAAACCAAAGGAAAAAATAAATTAACTTATGTTTTATTTTTCTGAACAAAAATAATCTTGTAATATTTAGACCACAAACTGCTGCCTTCTTCTTTTTAGAAAACAGAGAAAGAAACAAACAAAGAAACAAAACAGAGAAGAGAACATTTTTCAGACATTCAGTGGATATTCTGAAGTTGTAGTATTGCACATTTCACATGATTGCAATATTTACAATTCACAGATGACTTAACATGTGTTGGGTTGTGTGCAATAGATTATGTGCAATAGTGGGTTGTGTGCAATAGATGGTTGTGTGCAATAGATGGTTGTGTGCAATGGTCTCTGTTTTCAAAAATGAATCGCCCTACGCTGGGACACTGTATGAATTCCTGTTGTTGATGTTTTTAACTGATGTTTCAATCTGGAGAGGCTACAAGAGACAAGATGCGTAAAGAGTTCTTTATTTATGTGTTTGAGATTTTATGGATTGAGTTTGCTTATTGGTTTGGAGCTTAGGCCCCGGCTGTGGTCGTGCTCTGAAGGGATCTGCGCCTGGGTGCAGATCATGATCCCCCGGGGCCTAGACACCGGTGGCGGCAACAAGGCAAGGTGAATGTGAGAGTGAAGAAATCCTGAGGCGGAGGTGGGGAGGAGGTGGTTGCAGCTTGAAAGTCCGTTTGATGAGCTGTGCTCTGCTTTGCCTTTAAACGCTGGCTTGATTGACACGGCTGCAGGGAGTTGATGAGTTGATTATGACAGGCTGAGTAAGGCGTGGTTTAGCCTGGTGTGAAAACGTAGGTAGTCTACCATCCTGAACCTCCGCTTATGCTTCATATTTGTATTGTGACCTGTGACTCCGCCCCTTTGGACTAAGGATGAAAATTACTGTAGCCTTTGGCTACAATCTGACGTGTCGGAAAATATTCCCAACCATATATGTTAATTGACATGTACTCCCAAGGCTCACAAAGGAAAGGCTTGCGGAACCTCTCTTTCACACAGCAAGGGTAGATCATACTGTCACTGAACTGCTCTTCAGAGCAGACAGTGTCCTGCAGGGGGCGAACGTTATGGTCCAGCATAAATGTTAGTGTGTCCAGGACCCTCCTGTCCCCCACCTGCTGGACTGTTCACAGAACTGCAACTGCTCCACGGTAAAAATTAAAAATACCAGATCAAGTTTACTGTATTTGTTAAGAAAAGCTGATTGCTGATATCAAGATATTCATTTAGCTCCTGGTGCGAGACACAAACACCTACTTCCATCTGATTGTTTTTCATTGGACAATTAGCTCATTGCAAGTGGTAATCAAAGCAGAATCAGAAAGTAATTAGAGGAGTGGCCTTTAAGTCTGCTCTGTTTTACATGGAGCACGTCTGCTGCAGATTAAACAAGAAACGATTAACTTAAAGCAAATGTTTATTTTTGTACGTGTTTGTTGCAGCTGAATGTCTTGTGTCAGTTATATTCTGTGAACAAACCCGACCCGTCTTCTTCACTCTCAGAGTGAAGTCAAGGCATGGCGAGTTTATTTGTATAGCACAGTTCATACACAAGGTGACTCAATGTGCTGAACTAAACAAGATTAAAACAAGCACATAAAGCAGTTAAATATTAACTTTACATTAAATAAAGAAGATATAATCTTTCAGTTGTATGCAGAGCGAAACAGAACTGTTTTTAATCTGGATTTGTCAGAGAGGAAACCTGTCTCACAATTTGAAGAAGACTGTTCCAGATTTTCGCTGGCTAAGCAAGTTGGGATCACAAAGCGCTTCACATTTGAAAACTAACAGATAAAATAATACACTTACAAGTCAGTTCCAAAAATACAGAAGACAGTCCTCATCATGAACACAGTTCACAAAGGCATTTGTAGGTGAGGGGAGAGAGCCCTTCTAAACAAATAGGTCTTTAGTTGGGACTTGAAATGATCAAAAGACTCTGAAATGAGCTCCCCCAGTTTCAGAGCATGTTAAAGGCCAGGAGCAACAGCCTGGAACGATCTATCTCCTCGGCTGCCTCCTTATGTTTAGTTCTGACTCTGGGCAACAGAAGGAGAACAGTCCCTGTGCTCCTCAGAGTTGGTGCCTATGACACGAACATGTCACAGATGTACTTTGGTGCGAGGCCATGGACAGACATATAACAAGCAGAGCTGCTTTAAAGTCTATTCTCTGAGCTACAGGAAGCACAGAGCTGAGACCAGGAGAAATGTGATAGTACTTCCTGGTTCTAGTCAGTATTCAAGCTGCAGCGTTTTGAAAATATTGCATCTGTTGGAAAGCAATCACAAACCTGGAGTTTAATGGAGCGTCATCCAAACTGCTGAGCTAAAGTTAACAGACATGTGTATCTGTGTAATTGGCTGCAGTCTAATGGATCTCTGTTCTGCTCTATGGATGATCGTATGTGCGTTTGTGTGTGTAATTGCACTGCTGTATATAGAGTACCAAGCAGGAAGAGACTGTTTAATATCTCCTGCAAAATAAACACAATGAACCTAAAGAGCTAAAGAAGCAGCCGTGCACGGTGCTCCAGAGAAAAGTGCGTTTTATCACCTATATATTGTTATTTTCATTGTTTTTGACCTTCTCTGACTTGAGCAGCATCCATCCTTATCCTCTCAGAAAGCTTCTTTTACAAAGCAAAAAGGTCAGTATGCTCCATTCGCAGGCTCGCAGCCATGGCAGGATATTGATTCAATAAAGTGGTGACTGAAGATTGAAAAATATACGTGTTTAAACAAAACAGTCAATCATCAATACACTTTTGTTGCTGATTCTTATGCAATATGTTATCCCAGTTTTACCTTATTTTTTCATTTATAATGTTTCTTCCTGGTTGTGATCAAGAGTTTTTAGCCCTATTCGCATGGGATTAGAATTACCTGTGGACCGCCCCTCTGCAGCACATTCGCATGGGAGCAATGTCTGTAAATGACTATACTTTAACTGACATTTAGTACTAACAGACACACATGCGCGAGTCTCTCCGCTTCACGCAGCCCAAAGGATCCTCGCAGTGACTAGGCTCCAGTCAAAACACATGGGAACATATTTGTGATGGTCGTTGGCATTAGATCAGCTCCTCACACACATCACTTGTATTTAAACATCAGAAGAGACCTGTCATTGGCTGCTCTTACGATGTGTACAAGCAGTCTCATAGTCTGCTGCTAAAAATCTTCAAAACAGCAAATCAACATGTTTGTCCATGGTTCGAGTCAGGAAGATATATGAAAAGGCGCAAGATATTGACAAAAAACAAAGCAGAGAGTAGAGAAGGCAGTAATGAAGCTTAAGCAGAAATTCAGACTGGGAAGACTGCATGCCACAGTTCCCACCCCATCCAGGGCCAGCACCAAATGCGCTTGTGTTGCTCTAATGCACTAGCACAGAGGAGCTTTGACGCGCTTTGACCAATCAGAGCTGCTGATCAGAGCGGAGCTAGAGCGGGAGTTGGAGTGGGCGCCAAACAAGCAGAGTTTGTGGCACTGGTATGGATTTAAAGAAAACAAAAGGATTAAAGAGGAAAAAAAGTTTGAGATGACAAGGGACACTAACATCCCCACAAAATCCGAAGTTCTCTGTCAGCTGAGGTTGAGCTGTCTTAAGCTGTGTTCACACCGTACTCAACTTCGACTCCAGAAGCGTCAGGTTTGTATTGAAAATTAATGGTGGCGCAGAGAGGCCAGCGACCAGCATGCTAGCGGCAAGTGGACAAGATGTCGGCCGCATGGCAGATTTGATAAGTAAACGAGAGCGACTAAAGCAAACTGTACGTGGTGTAAGGCAAAACTTTGATGAGGGATAACACCATGCAGTACTCATAATGGTACTCGGTATCGGCAAGTACTCAAATTAAAGTACTCATAATGGTTTGGAAAACATTGGTATTGGTGCATCCCTAGTTTAGGCCATATGGAAACTTTGAAGTGACCATAGTGGGTGTGTTTTTGGTGCATAATAAAAAGCCTATGGCAAAAAGGACTTTCACTGCAAGTACAGCTACGGTACCAGAGGTGTCTGGACCATGGCCGTGCAGACTCTCCTATGCTGCAAGTATAAATTGATCTTTGTCTGATGTTGTAAGGCTTGGTCCAGGTACTATTGTTTAAATTAGCTTTAACACTTTGTTCTTTACTTTCTCAGTTTGAAAAGTATCTGACATTCACTTTACATCAGGTCAAACACATTTCCCACTGATGCAGCCAGCTCTGATACACATCACCTCCAACACACAACACTCCTTAGAATGAGCCTTTTATGCAGAGGCAATAAACACTAATTAAGACGAGGCTGCAGGGAATTGTCACATCGTTCATTCAGATTCCCTCTAATGTAAATGAGTCTCAGACAAACCTGCCGTTACTCGCAATCTAATAAACCAATAGAAGCCATAGATCTGTGTGGGACAGATTCTGTGACTGGCAGCTTGTTCCTCTTTAATTGGGAAACTCCATATTTTAATTAGACACAAGACTTGCTCCACTTGCACAACACTGCCTCACCTGTGAGTTTAATTACATGATGTCTCGCTCCAGGCGCCATTTAACTTAAATATAGAACGCAGGGGTGTAATAATAACAAGGGGAGAGGAGTCTGAGTCCCGGAGCTCACGTTGAATATTGTAAAAACTATGATAAAACCACAAGTGAAGCAAACAGGGGAATGCACTCTGCAGCAGATTTACACAAAGACACTCCCAGTCTTTACCTCCAGTCATGGATGGAGACACGAGATCATAAATTCAATCTCCAAAAAATATGGCCACGGCGCAGGGAATAACAAAGCTAACAAATATTTGGAGGATTGTGAAGTCTCTTGTCTTTCCTTAGACAAGGGACCTTATTTCATGTTCAAAATCATGAAATGACAAAAATAGCCTCATTCCTAATTTGAATGGTGAAAAATATTGTATATTTTAAGGGACAGCTCGGTGAATGAGGGGTTAGCACTGTCTAGCACCTCGGCAAGAAGGTCCTGGGTTTGAATCCCAGTTGAAACAACAGGTTACCACTAAAAACGATATGTAAGTCCTGACCAAGCCAAGTATCAATCTGTTACTACGGCGACCACTGCTCCTGACAGACGCCCCGGTGCCATCGGGATGGGTCAAATGCAGAGGACAAAGTTCCCATTTAAAGTACACATTTACACATATTCATCGGTTAACACTTGGATTCCAAGAATTCTTAAACCACCAGACAAAGCCATTTTTTTTTTTCAAGAACACATTTCTTATATCGTAAAGTTAAATAGTTGGATCATCAAGACTATTGGTCCTCCCAATTGTCAATCATTCTGGTGATTACGTGTTCGTCAAATAAGACCAGAGAGTTTTGTTCTTTCCAAAAATTTGAGAAAATCCTTCTGAGATTCAAGATTATTTATCGTCATTGTCACGAAATCAACATAATACCATTTTGAGCGTCATGGTAACAGAGCGTAGAGAGTGTAGGAGTTGGCAGGATGTAAACAGACACAGGGCTCTATGAGGGAGTTTAGTTAGACAGTAACAGGATGTAAGTGAGGATGTTAGCTGCTACACTGGTTCACAGTTATGGCAGGTATGTAAAAGTGGAGGATAACAGGGGTCCAGGGGCTGAGGAGGGGGGCAGTCTGAGAGCCTGGGGGTAGAGACTGTTGGTCATTCTACTGATTCAGGCAGGGAGTGACCTGTACAGACGACAAGATCATTTTGCTTTGTCCCAGTGGCAAATCCTGTTTTAAGGCAGTCAATGTGCTCAAATTAAGAAATATTTCGCAACATTTGAGTCATTTTTTTACTTATTTTTCATCACTTTTGGCAGTGTAGAAATCAGGCAGAACAAGGCGTTATTATTTATAGCCTGCATAACTGTATTTCATAGCTGAGTTGCCAAATGTATTAGATTTCAAAATGGGAGGAAATTTATGAGGCGTAACTTTCTGTAAACAATCAGTGGGAATATGTCGACACGCACACTTCATTATGTCGCTCAGATTTATGGGACGATTATTCTCTTCTGCATCCGCCCTTTACCCTCTGACTAATGCCGCTTTTGGGGACTGGATCTGGCAACACCACCGACAGCGAAACACAAGGTCAATGGGGGTTTGAAGTCACAGAGAGTCCAATCTTCTCTCTGAAAAGTTGCGATGCCATGTGTCTCGCTTCAGTACATTCCTCCTGGCGAATTAGGCCCAGGCTGAGGCCTGACTCTCATTTCTCTGACGATTAATTAGTCACAAGTTTATGGCAATGGTAGGACCGTGTCTCAGTTTGTGGCAGTAGTGGTTGGAAATTAGTGCAATATGATAAGAGAAGAAAAGAATTCCTTCATTTGTCCCACAGTGGGGAAATTTTGATGGTCATGGTCCAGCATAGATGTTAGTTTGTCCAGGACCCTCCTGTCCCCCACCTGCTGCACTGTGTCCAGGCCTCTCCACACACTCTGAACATTCTGCTGCGATATGGGTGTCTAGAAAGATAACAATATTATTGCGATATTGTATTCTTTCACCTAAAAAGGCTATCTGCAGGAATCGTTAGAGGAAAAACTATTTTAAAAATCCATCATTGCAATTAAGATCACAACTCCATGATTTTCAAATCTAGTAAGGTTTAAAGTCTTGCCTAAAGTTAGCTTTTCCATCATTCTGCAGACAAAAGAATGACTCAAGAATTTCAAAGATTGCATTTATTTGCATTATAACACATTAATGTGTGCATGTGTATTTTTCATGCAAATTGGCAATCATTTTGAGGCAAAAGCTTTAACAAAACACCAAAACAACATTCAGGTTTTTGTACCTAGACAAAAAAATCTTTAAACTTAAAGTGCAATTGGCAAAAGTATTGATGCAAGAGCTTTACAACAAAACACTGAAACAGTCCCTTATTGTTACAGTTCTATTTGCACCTGAAATATTAAAGTCTGTAAACTTACACGTAATGTAAAATTACATTCACTAAATGATATAGACCTGCTGTCTATGTTTTTCATACATAAAATAATTAGAAATAAAGTGTCCAGGCCTTCCCTGAGTTATTATTTCAACAAATAACATGTAAAAACCTCAATAGGGCGGCACGGTGGCTGAGTGGATAGCACTCTCGCCTCTCAGCAAGAAGGTCCTGGGTTCGAATCCCGGTCGGACCAGGGCCTTTCTGAGTGGAGTTTGCATGTTCTCCCCGTGTCTGCGTAGGTTTCCTCCGGGTACTCCGGTTTCCCCTACCACTAAAAATATGTCCAATAGTTCTGGCATGTGCCTCCTGTACTGGCGACCCCGCTCCCATCTCTGTGTGGAGTGAGAGACAAATGCCCATAATTAACAATTGTAAACCGCTTTGAGACTCAGATCTGCAGTGAAAAGGCGGTATATAAATAAAAACTTACTTACTTACTTACTTACTAATAGATTTTGGCCAAAAAACCCAACATGCTGACATTGGCAGGTTTTAAACAAGTGCGTTGGCATGTAACAACATTACCTGATGTACTGAAAAGTCTCTCTGAAGGTGAGCGACTTCCTGATACACAGAGGTATTTTCTGGCCAATTTACCCAACTGCGGGAAATATACATGTACCTGATGAACATTCCAAGACAGCGGGTCATCTTCGCTGTTGATGGTGGGAGACACGAGGTACAGTAGCTGTTGAGTTTCCCCTCCACTGTACGTGTTGATGCTGTAGTAGATGTTGGAGCCGGGACACATCTGAAAAATCTGCCCAGGGATCTTTTGGACGTCTTCTAGATGTCTTCTGGTGGATCCATGTTGTCATGTTGAGGCTTTGCTCTTTCAACATACAATTTGAAATGATTAAATTAGATTGTTATAAAGTTTGAAAAGATTAGTGTGTTGACACCATTTACCTTTGGGAATGTTGCTTAAACTTCTGAAATCACTCGGGCTTAGATTTCATGCAACTTGTCATTACTGATGAAGCCTGCTTTAGACAGAGGATCCATGAAGCAGGCCATATCCAGAAGTTCTTGAGTCGCTGGGTCGTCATATTTGGAGTTCAAGTAGTCCAAGTTCTTCTTCTTAATAGATTTTGTCAAATCACTTTCTTGTTCTTTTGCAGCAAGAACAAAGGGGTTGAAAACATGAAGTACTGGTTTCACATTTGAAACGCTAACATAGCAGTCACTTGAAAGGGCATCAGTATATTCTTGTAGAGGCTGCAATGCCTGATTTAAAGATTCCAGAACATCCACGTCCTGCCAAGTCGGAAACAAATGTCTGGACTTTCTATCTGCTGAAAGGACGTCACTCAGGGCTCTCTGCTGCTCAAGAACTCATTGCATCATCTGTTGTCTAGACCCCCACCTTGTAGGGCATTCTGTCATCAGTGCATGCTCTGGGAGGTTGTGTTCTCTTTCCAACAATGGGAGAAGTGCTCCACCAACTTCTTGCAAAGTCCAACAGCTCTTGTAATACGATCGTCACTTTGACTGCGTTCTCTTAAACAAAAGACAAAAAAACAAAACAAAAACAAAAAAAGAAAAGTTTAATATTTAAATGCATGAAATAAATAGACAAATAACTGTTAATGAAACATTTAAAGTGGTTCTCACCCCCGCTCCTCGGAGCTTACGTTACTCACATTTCCTGTTCAAATCTTCCTCTAAATGGGCGTAGCCTGGAGGACTAAAGGGGGCGTGAACGAGACTGGGCCGTTTACATTGCTCTGGGCGGGGGGCTGCTGACGTCAGGTCTTGCTTCAGACGTCAGGTCTTGCTGCGGCGCCAGTGTTGGCGCCAGATTCAAAATTCAAATGTAGTAATACAGGTTGCCAGCAGATGGCGCCTCACAGACGGTTTTAGGCAGAAAGTTTAACTTTCAACTAATTTGCACCAAAGTGAAAAAACTATGACCAGGATATGTAGACAACACTATTGGACACTCATTTAAATCGTTTATCAGCAAAAAAAGTGGATTTGAGGGTGAGTTGTCCTTTAAGGCCCTACACCAGATTTTTTTTGCTCCAAGTAGTTATGTGTTTTAAGCTTCAGTAGTATAAAGTACAACATTACATTTGTTGTTGATTTTATATAGTACCATGAGAGTATTGCACTCGGAAAAAAGAAAAACGTATTTTAAAATACATCCCTGTCCAGAATTTGTTGAAAATGTTAGAGATGGACCATACATAATAAATAATAATAATGATAATATTAATAATATAATTATAACAAGTAGTGACTGTTTTATCATCAAATCAGGTATAGGCCCTTGATATGTAAAATGTAAAGATTAATTATCATAAACACTCACCAATTGCCACATGCAAGCGATGGCCAAAGCACTGCAGTCTGACCCCGTTGTTGACCTCAGCAGCCTTCACCACATTTGCTCTGTTGTCTGTTGTTATTGCCAGTTATTTGTCATCTGGTAAGTTCCAGTTGGTCAAAACATTGCGCAGGGCAGAAGCGATGTTATCACCGGTGTGTGTCCAAGCAACATATAATCAGTTCAAATTTGTTTGTCAAAAAGGCGGCAACTGAGGACCCATTTAAGGTCGCAGCAGATTGGTCAACATGCGCATATGAGAAAATGCAAGACTTTAAATTATTAGAAATGATCGCGCATCTTTTCGATATGGATATCGTACGTGCCAATATTGCGATTAATATATCGTGCAGCCCTAGGTGGCAGTGTCTCAGTTTGTGGCAGTAGTGACCCTGTTTCAGTTATGGTCCTACCATTATGGAAATGGTAGGCCTATGTCTCAGTTTGTGGCAGTAATGGCTGTGTTTCAGTTTGTGGCAGTTGTAGCTATGTCTCAGTTTGTGGCAGTATTAGGACTGAGAATGACAGGCCGTCTTTCCCCTAAGAGCCTTGTTCCCTTTGGTTGTTATCTACTCTGACATTATCCCTCGTTCCAACATTTATAATAATAATGATGAGAGAACGGTGTATCTGACTAATCCGCTCTTTTAACTGTTGTGACATTTCAGTCTTTAAAAAAAAAGCGTCTATGATAATAGATGTGAAGAACATTAATATTAAAAATGAAGATTGCTTTTTTGTCCCACAGTGGGGAAATGTCAGTGTTGCATCACCAGTTACAGAACAGTAGGAATGAGGAGCACACATGAACAATAACCATCCATCCATTTTCTTCTCCTTAATCAATTTCTGGGTCAGGGCCACCCAATCCACAGATGCAGGTGATAAGTCCACAGGAGGATGGCGGCTCTGGTCTGAGCTGTCTTGATCTTTCAGTGGGGGCTTCAGGCAAAGTGGGGGACAAGTGTCTTGCCCAAGTGCACAATGGCAGCAGAGGGAGTCATGAAGTAGGTCTTGTTGTGGGATTGAACCCACAACCTTCAGCCCCAAAAAACAATGCTCTACCACTGTTGCCCTAGCTCTATACTGAAATAAAATAACCTCTCTAGCTTTAGCATAATAGAGAAGCAAGTATAAAATCTCATAAAGTCTCAGTACATTTCTTACTTTGCGCCTGTAAAAGTCTCTGTAAAAGTCTAATAAATCAGCATTAATGCTTATTCAGAACTCTTGACGGAGAGAGCCGCAGTAAAACTCCCATGAATCAACTTTATTAACCCATGATATTAAAAAATCTGTTAATTTAAATTGTATTCTTTTCTTAGGAGCCTTTCTTGGCACTCAAGGTCTCTTTTACATACAAGTACAAGTTAAAATACAGTTACAATACAAAGGCCTCATGGACAGAGCATGGTGTAGTTTTAGTGTAGTGTTAGTGAATAGGCTTGACTAAACAGATGAGTTTTGAGAGTGGGCTTGAAGTGTGTGAGTGAGCCTGTGTTACGGAGGTCAGGAGGGAGAATGTTCTAGAGCAAGGGAGCAGAGCGGCTGATGATGAGCTGTGTATATTTAAAGTGTTCTCTGCCGTTAATATGCGCTTGTCTCTCATTATGGCCGTGTCTCCATCTCTGTTGTCTCTGCTCTCACTGCTGTCTCTGCTGGAGGCTGTAACGAGAAAAGGGAAAACCCAGCGATAGTTGGAGGAGAGTCTGCAGAGGCTGTGGGCGACATGTTGGACTGGGGACTTTAATTAACAAATCCATTTATAGTGTTGCTGTTGGGAGAGCCTCAGCGTCCATCTGGTTCGGTCTGGGTCCTGGTTCTTCCGTAGGTTCTGCTTTGACCTTCTCACTGATTGGCCCACACGGAGGCTGGATACAACATGTCACTGCGGCACACAACCATTCTGAGTTTCTCAATTCCTACTAAATGAATCTTTCTCAAAATGTATTTATGTTTGTTGGTATGGATTTCCACCTCATCTGATGTCCATGTCCCAAGCCCCAGTGATCCAAGATGGCGCCCTATTCAAATGAATGGCTTTTGCTCAGCAGCGCATGGGACTTCACGGAGACCGGGAGATTAGCAGAACTCGCCTATATTTGGACATCGTCTGGTCCTCCCGGTTCTGCACAGTGCACGAGCTCCCATGATGCGTTGCGCCAAATTACGCGTGTGTGGCTTTCATGCACGTGCACAGAGGGGCTCGGCTGCGCTTTGTCCAATAAGAGCTGCTGATCAGAACAGTGGCAGAGTTTGTGGTAGTGAAGTGTAAATTTAAAGAAAACCGAAGGATTTAAGAAGAAAAAACATTCAGGATGACAAGGGACACTATAATCCTCACAAAATCCGATATTTCTGAAAGCTGTAGGTTCTCTGTCAGCTGAGGTCGAGCTGTTTTTATTTACATTGAGCTCATCCGAAGAGGGGGTGTCGCCTCCACAGACACATGGGAAACAGACTTCTCTTTATCCATCCTTAAAAGTTTTCTCCTTCTCATATTATTAGCATTGGGTCGGGGCTGTGGGGGGTCCGACTCCTGCCGCATCAATAATCAATGTAGATGGCAGAGCTATATTTTAACTGGAACTGTCCTATGGCGCTGAGGGAGGGAACTATAACAATGACATGGATGATAAAATATTAGCCCCACTCCTTTTTAATCACAGTGTATGAAATTTAATTACAATAAGGATATGATTTATTCGCTGTAGAGAACACCCTGTGGAGTTACGGACTCCATAAAGACTGAAATCCCACGACAACGCAATTTAAAACCCATTGAAACGACATTCCCTACAGTAACTACAACTTTTGCATTTAAAGGAATGTGTGTGGAGGAGGAGGAGGAGGCGAGAGCTGAGTGTGGAGGAGCAGGAGGAGGAGGATGTGAGGGCAGAGTGTGAAGTAGGAGGAGGCAAGGGCCGAGCGTGAAGGAGGCGAGTGTGAAGGAGGAAGACGGAGGAGGCGAGGGCCGAGCGTGAAGGAGGAGGAGGCGAGGGTCGAGCGTGAAGGAGGAGGAGGCGAGGGTCGAGCGTGAAGGAGGCGAGTGTGAAGGAGGAGGAGGCGAGGGCCGAGCGTGAAGGAGGAGGAGGCGAGGGTCGAGCGTGAAGGAGGCGAGTGTGAAGGAGGAAGACGGAGGAGGCGAGGGCCGAGCATGAAGGAGGAGGAGGCAAGGACAGAGTGTGAAGGAGGAGGGGAGAGTGTGAAGGAGTAGTCGAGAGTGAAGCAGGAGGAGGCGAGAGTGTGAAGGAGGAAAGAGAGTGAGGGAGGTGGAGGAGGTGAAGGGCCAAACGTGTGTGTGAAGGAGGAGGAGGCGAGAGCTGAGTGTGGAGGAGGAGGACGTGAAGCGTGAAGAGGGAGGCGAGGGCCGAGTGTAAAAGAGGAGGATAAAGTGATGGCAGAGCGTGAAGGAGGCGAGTTTGAAGGAGGAGGAGGGAGTAGGTGAGGGCCGAGCGTGAAGGAGGAGGAGGTGAGGGCCGAGCGTGAGGGAGGAGGAGGTGAGGGCCAAGCGTGAAGGAGGAGGAGGTAAGGGCCAAGCGTGAGGAAGGAGGAGGTGAGGGCCAAGCGTGAGGAAGGAGGAGGTGAGGGCCAAGCGTGAGGAAGGAGGAGGTGAGGGCCGAGCGTGAGGGAGGAGGAGGTGAGGGCCAAGCGTGAGGGAGGAGGAGGTTAGGGCCGAGCGTGAGGGAGGAGGAGGTGAGGGCCAAGCGTGAGGGAGGAGGCAGGTGTGAGCATGAGGGAGGAGGAGGCGAGTGCAGAGCTTAGAAGGAGGAGGTGAGGGCCAAGCGTGAGGGAGGAGGAGGTGAGGGTCAAGCGTGTGTGTGAAGGAGGAGGAGGCGAGAGCTGAGTGTGGAGGAGGAGGACGTGAAGCGTGAAGAGGGAGGCGAGGGCCGAGTGTAAAAGAGGAGGATAAAGTGATGGCAGAGCGTGAAGGAGGCGAGTTTGAAGGAGGAGGAGGGAGTAGGCGAGGGCCGAGCGTGAGGGAGGAGGAGGTTAGGGCCGAGCGTGAGGGAGGAGGAGGTGAGGGCCAAGCGTGAGGAAGGAGGAGGTGAGGGCCAAGCGTGAGGGAGGAGGAGGTGAGGGCCAAGCGTGAAGGAGGAGGAGGTGAGGGCCGAGCGTGAGGGAGGAGGAGGTGAGGGCCAAGCGTGAGGGAGGAGGCAGGTGTGAGCATGAGGGAGGAGGAGGCGAGTGCAGAGCTTAGAAGGAGGAGGTGAGGGCCAAGCGTGAGGGAGGAGGAGGTGAGGGTCAAGCGTGTGTGTGAAGGAGGAGGAGGCGAGAGCTGAGTGTGGAGGAGGAGGACGTGAAGCGTGAAGAGGGAGGCGAGGGCCGAGCGTAAAAGAGGAGGATAAAGTGATGGCAGAGCGTGAAGGAGGCGAGTTTGAAGGAGGAGGAGGGAGTAGGCGAGGGCCGAGCGTGAGGGAGGAGGAGGTTAGGGCCAAGCGTGAGGAAGGAGGAGGTGAGGGCCAAGCGTGAGGAAGGAGGAGGTGAGGGCCAAGCGTGAGGGAGGAGGAGGTTAGGGCCAAGCGTGAGGGAGGAGGAGGTTAGGGCCGAGCGTGAGTAAGGAGGAGGTGAGGACCAAGCGTGAGGAAGGAGGAGGTGAGGGCCAAGCGTGAGGAAGGAGGAGGTGAGGGCCGAGCGTGAGGGAGGAGGAGGTGAGGGCCGAGCGTGAGGAAGGAGGAGGTGAGGGCCAAGCGTGAGGGAGGAGGAGGTGAGGGCCAAGCGTGAGGGAGGAGGAGGTGAGGGCCAAGCGTGAGGGAGGAGGAGGTTAGGGCCGAGCGTGAGGGAGGAGACGGTGAGGGCCGAGCGTGAGGGAGGAGGAGGTGAGGGCCGAGCATGAGGGAGGAGGAGGTTAGGGCCGAGCGTGAGGGAGGAGGAGGTGAGGGCCGAGGGTGAGGGAGGAGGAGGTGAGGGCCAAGCGTGAGGGAGGAGGAGGTGAGGGCCGAGGGTGAGGGAGGAGGAGGTGAGGGCCAAGCGTGAGGGAGGAGGAGGTTAGGGCCGAGCGTGAGGGAGGAGGAGGTGAGGGCCAAGCGTGAGTAAGGAGGAGGTGAGGGCCAAGCGTGAGGAAGGAGGAGGTGAGGGCCAAGCGTGAGGGAGGAGGAGGTTAGGGCCAAGCGTGAGGGAGGAGGAGGTGTGAGCATGAGGGAGGAGGAGGCGAGTGCAGAGCGTGGAAGGAGGAGGCGAGGGCCAAGAGTGAAGGAGGAGGAGGCGAGGGCCAAGAGTGAAGGGGGCGACTGCTTGCTAGCTGCTACACACACTTGCTACAATACTATGACTTTTGCATTAGCGGAGTGCTAGCTAGCCGCTACACACACGTCTCAAATGATGAACGCTGTAAAAAACAGGGGCGCAGCAGTGGGATTAGAGCCTGCATTAGCACAGATTTACCGCCCTTCTTAAATGGGAAAAGCAAACGGTTTCTATGTTGACATGTTTTATTCATCGAGCCTCAGGGCGGTTTATTTGTTTACGCGTACACTTATTACAGTTTCACATAAGAACAGATAAAGGTGGAATGACAAATGAGAGATTCAGCATTCATGATTCAGCAGAAGAAAGGATCCTGTAAATCCAAATGTCCCGGTCGGTCTTGACTTGTTAAGAGTCGGCATTCGTCTGTTTGTGCAACATTTATGGACAATTATAAAAACATTTATGGACATTGGTCTCTGCTCCTTTTGGACCAACGGCTCTATGTGTTTGTTATCATTGCATTTGATTCTCTGATCTCATCTCATTTACATCCCTTTATTTTCCATTTCTGGGTCAGGGGGGTTGGCAATCAGAACTGCCACCCAATTCATATAGCACCAGTCCCTTGCTGATCTTCCCGCAGGTGGTGGGTCCACGGGAAGATTCTCTGATCTGTGTTGGTGAATTCAACAGTTTTGTTTAGTCCTCTGAGACAACTACGTTCTGATTTAAGACAGATTTATTATTATTATCATTTACCAAAATAAAGAATCAAGTGTAAAATGTGAGGTCAGGTCGGCAGTGTTTGTGTTGTACAGTCTATGAAGAAAGCCATTATTATGTTGCTTATGTATTGTGTATAACTGTGATGAATGTGAGATCGAGGGGCAAACTTGATTTTCCTCCTTGGTTTATAAACCAGCCTTACATCAGTTTATTTAACTTTTTTGTTGTAGTGGGCATGGCGTCATAACAGCGCCCCCTATCAACCGCGCATGGATTCGCAGCCTGTTCTTTACTCCCATCGATAAACCATTTCTCTGCCTCTCGCTGTCGTTTGTCTCGCCACCACAAACAATAGGAATCCATTTTATTGAGCAGGGCCTGATTCCAGTTGGAGGCCTGGGCTCTCAGTGACAGTGACCAATGGAGCTCAGAGATACAGTCTTCTTTCCAATGTGCTTCAAGGAGAACGGGGGGTGGGGCTGGATGTTGCCAATACACTCAATGGCAGATTCTGCTCTTTATGACCTTTTCTAATTCAGCCAAAGACTTTCACTTTCTCTGCTGGACATTGTCTCACCACTTATAAGCAATGATTACACAGTTCAGAGCCTGATTAGTCCCAGATCAAGACCAAGACCAATGACCCAGGAAAGTCTGATGGCAATTATTAAAAGAATTATCATTGGTGCCATCCATCCATCCATCCATCTTCTACCCTTTAATCCATTTCTGGGTCAGGGGGGTGGCAGTCAGAGATGCCACCCAAGTCTCATAGCACCAGCCCCTCACTGACCCTCTGCAGGTGGTGAGTCCACAGGAGGACGGCTGCTCTCTGAGTGTGAGCATAGCCTTGATCTTTCAGTGGGGGCTTTGGGCAAAGTGGGGTTAAGTGTCTTGCCCAAGGACACAACGACAGCAGTCATCAGTGGGAGTCGGTGGAGAAGGTGCAGAGGTGGGAATTGAACCCACAACCTTCTGGGCTTAAGGCCAATGCTCTCATCATTGGTGCCACTCTGGGGAAATGCCAGTATTGCAGCACACATTACAGAACAGTAGGAATACATATCCAACATAGAAACAGATTACAGATTGTGAAGAGGGCTCCTGATGGAGTGTGGAGCTAGTCTAGTGCTCTCTCCTCCTGAAAACCAGAATAGACTTCAGGGCAAGTCCCTTGTCCCTTAGAATAGAGCTGACAGCGGAGGCAGAAGAGTGAGAAAACACCCTCCGGGCCAAACTTAATTAAAGAGAGGGACCACCACTGGTCTGTCAGTCCAGGTTTACTGAGCCTGACAGAGACGCAATGACAGTTCCACCACATCCAGAAACTAAATATAGTCCAGAAAGATCTGATCCACTCCCAGGGCCTCGGCACTGAGAAGAACCGCTGACTTCAAAGACTGAAGTATCTGAACCAGGATCTGCTTCCATGAAGAACGCCATGAAGGGGAACTGAGAACTTCAAAGTTTGGCCATGTTCCTGGGTCGAGTTCAGTAGCTCTCACTGCAAACAGCCCCCACCCTCTACTGCGGGGGGGCTCGCGACTGCTTGCTATCTGCTACACACACTTGCTACAGTAACTATGACTTTTGCATTAGGAGTGCTAGCTAGCTGCTACACACACGTCTCAAATGATGAACACTGTAAAAAAACAGGGGCGCAGCAGTGGGATTAGAGCCTGCATTAGTACAGATTTACCGCCCTTCTTAAATGGGAAAAGCAAACGGTTTCTGTGCTGACATGTTTTATTCATCAAGCCTCAGGGCGGTTTATTTGTTTACGCGTACACTTATTACAGTTTGACATAAGAACAGATAATGGTGGAATGACAAATGAGAGATTCAGCATTCATGATTCAGCAGCAGATTTGTGATTTCCTGGGTTGAGGTCAGCAGCCCCCCTGCCCCCCTTGTCCTCCTGTTTGCCAGATTCCTTGTGAGCTTGGGTTTGGACGGTGATCTTCCTGCTCCATGACCTCAGAGAATTCCTCTGAGCCCAGAGCTTCCGCCTCTGCAGGTCAGCAGATTCAGGAGTCTTGAGGGTCATTATTTGTTTAAAGGTGAAAGCAAGACGACCAATAAAATCAAATAGAAAACAAAGCTGTAAGTTGGTGGTGTAAGTAATTTATAATCCACACAAATTGGAAAACGTGCATTTTTCTGGCCTGTGTGCTGTGCAGCTGCGAGGAACGTTTTGTTAGAGGTACATAGTAGGATTTTCTACATCCGAGTGGATCATCAAGACTATTGGTCCTTCTAATTGCCAATCACTTATACGAGTTCGGCTAACAAGACCACGTTTTATTTTTAAGTAAAATCCTTCTTTGTACCTGTAAACTATTGTTTTATATGAACAAACTGAACTTAATATCACACATTTTAACATGACCAAATACTTTTTCAAATGGTTTTGTCTGACTCACATGTTTTGCCTTTGTCTCCAATGGCTTATATCCTGGGGATTTTCATTTTGAAACTGAGAAGATTTTGTTTGGTTTGTAGCTTGAAAGATTTGACTAATGTTCGAGTAAAAGCAGAGATTACCTATACAACAGACACATTGTTTTTCAGTTATTTGTTATTTGTCTGGAAATCAAACTAACTTTTATTTATTTAAAGATCTTGGTTAGAAAATGTGTCATTTTTGCTTTTCTCCCAATAATGAAGATTATAGGTCCCACAATGAAGTGTTGTATCACTAGTTACACAACAGTAGGACTGAGGAGCACATTTGAAATACAAAGTCATATACAGCTTTAGCATAATAAAGAAGCAAGAATTAAGCACTTAAAAGGCTATTTATGTCTAATGGTGCTTTCAGTTTAAAATATTGCCCCTAGATAATCACAAGTAACTGTTTAGTCTTTGAAATCCCAAAAGTAAAGTGCAGTATTATTTTATTCAAAATGGAACCAGACCACGTCCAAAGGATGACACGCCACCGTCAGAGGATTGTCAAGGTCTGAGAAAACTGTGGATCAAGAGAATGACTGCAGAATGTTGAGAGAAAACACTTCAATTACAAACAGCCCACCTTTGAAAAGGTCATTTTTCAGATAACACAATTATGAGGATGACGAAGTGTCGGACTCTCAGTGTTCTGTCGTCTCTAAATGTAGACAGCTACAGTATCTGCTGTGACAGACAGCGAACAGATGGCGTAGTCTGAGAAGTTGTTTACTTGACATTTTCATAATACTTCTCATTGACTCATGTTCTATAAAACTGTGACACACAAACAATACAGCAATTAGAATAAGTGAATCACAACATCTTTTTGTGCTTGAACTAACTGTAGATTCTGTCCAATGGGGTGACAGTGGCTCAGTTGGTAGAGCATTGGCCTTCGAGCCTGTGGGTCTTGAGTTCGAGATCTTCATGACACCTTCTCCACTGATGTCCACTGTTGTTGTGTCCTTGGGCAACTGTACACTGCATGCCTTCATGTGTATATGTTTATTCATCAAATTGAAATTTCCCCACTGTTTAAATAACATTTACACAGAGTTGGTATGAACAGATAAGGCATTACATTACAGTATTATGCATTAATTATTGTATCTAAATTTGACCTGTATATAAAACTTAATTGGTCTAATTTGCAAGTCTGCTAGCATAATGCTAACGAATGCTTACGTTTTTTACTGTTTCAATGAAAACTTCTATTTTCTTACAAGAAACGAATCAAAGTAGATCTCAGTAGTTAAAGATCAATGAGATGTCGCATTTAACATCTCATTGATGTTAAATGCGTCCTCTATTCATGCTAACTGTAAACGGAGCTCAAGTCTCACAATATGGACACATTTGAACGTGGATGACATGACCATAGAATGATAGAACCGGGAAGCGCAGAGGAACGAGACTTTCTTTCGGATGGCTGTTTCGCTGTGTAAGCAGAAACCAGTAACAAAGACAGGGGAAGCTTCATGTTAGCCTTGTTTACCTCAGCTATCTGTGCTAACGAGAGACCAGTGGCTTTTCTCAAGAAAGTGGGGGCCAGTGGTCCGCTGTGATTGGTCACAGTCGGGACCCGAAACAAATTCTCTTCCTTGTTTCACAAAAAACACAAATCTGTGCTACTTTTTCTTCAAAAGGACGTATATCCCAATGCATTGCATGGATATGGATTACATTTCTGTAATGAATACAAAAATAAAGTCAATTAGTGCAGTTTTAACCAAGACCAAAACTTACAGCCTTATGTGGGCCAAAACCGGAC